TCAGGAGCAAGCCGTTAATATTGTCCAAACCCTTCCAAGAACATACAAAAAGGTCGTTCACGATTGGTATGGATGAAGAATTCATAGCTCATCCAATTAGTCATTCTTTTACATTTTGAATTTGTTTATCCTAAACTCCAACCACCAAAGTCGATGTTAAGGGTCGGAACCGTTTAATCTAATAACTATGATTCGGTCAATCTCAGAATCTTATTTCAGCTCTGTAGTTCGATTTTCAATGAAAGAGTAATCTCCAGAGACTAGGCAACAAGAATATTAGTTTCATGTTTTTGGAAGTCACCGAATTTGAATAAATGAAACAAAATGTGCTTAGAAAACTTAAAAAGGTAGAAACAACACATTGCTTACAGGGCAGAAGCATTCACGAATAGAGCCAATGTAAGCTCTTCTGGGGAGAATTACAACTTCTCCTTTAGTCCACAGAAAAGAAAAGAAAAAATAAAAAATTGACGTTATTGCTATTTGACTCGGACCTGTTCTAAAAAAGTCGAGGTATTTCGAATTGTTTGTTGACATGGACAAAGTCAGGGAAAACCTTCCATATTGAACCTTGGACATATAAGAGTTCCGAATCGAATCTCTTTAAAAAGAAGATCTTTTGTCTTATGGTAGCCTGCTCCAGTCCTCTTACGAAACTTTCGTTATTGGATTAGCCATACACTTCACATGTTTCTAGCAATTCACATGGCATCATCAAATGATACAAGTCTTGGATAAGAATCTACAACGCACTAAAACGCCCTTGTTGACGATCCTTTACTCCGACAGCATCTAGGGTTCCACCCTACAAAAAATAAAAAGAATAATGTCCTATAATTGCCCCAAGTGGCAAAAATCACTCAGATCTCCTCCTCAAATGCTGGGCAACAGGATGTCCTTCAAAGAAATCCAACACTGCATTCTCAAGGTCCTCCACTGAGTACTTGATATAATTCTCAGGGTGCCTCCCACTCTCAATATGGCTTCTGAATCGTCCAAGAAATGATCTATAAGCTGGGATAAGCTTCTCCATTATGGAAATACGAAGCTCCTCCCGGAGTTGAGTATCCGGTACCAACCACGTGGCTTGAGTCCTGAATACCTCTTCAAACATAGCATTGAATGACTTGAACCTTTCTCTCAAAGTACTCTTCGACACACCAGATGAAAAACCCCCACTCGTATGTAGACCTTCGTCCCTCAAACAATACAATACCCTCACCCACGTTGACCTCTGGTAATTAGTCGCGGATTGCCTGAATTTTCCGGTCAACCTTTTCAAATAATTGTCTCCAATCATTTCCCTCAACTCAACTGACCCTTTAATCTTCTGGACAATGTAATGAACATTGTTCATCACAAACAAATGAGCCAAGGAAGCATCCTTGTAATGCTTCGACTTACCCTCCAAATTAAACTGCAAAATCATAATGATCCAAATTAAATGAAGCGCCAAGGGGAGAGCCTGGTCTTCTACCTCGGAAAAATCCATATCCGGCATATTAGGATCATTGGAATACCTTGAACCAATCGATGGCTTAGACACTATCAGTTCCATCAAAGTCTGCTTATAATCTGCAATCAAACTAATATAATTCATCACATATCTAGTCAACGGATGAATTGTCCCTCCCGGCACTGGCACTCTCGATGGCTCCCGGAGCACTGCATTCTCAAATTCCGACAATATCCCTCTGGCAGCCTCAGCCAACCTAGACACTATCTCAACAGCTTGAACCCTAATCGATTCACTAGATTTCGACTCAAAGACTACCTCGATATCCGGCATCAAATCCATCAATGCATCATGAAGATCCAATATCTTGAACAATTTCTCCGGTGTTCGCCGACTGATGCTAATTGCATCTGCGAAATTGAACAACTGTATTGTCGGACCTTTAATGGTCTCCATAAAACAAGCATCATCAGTTGAGGTTCCCATATCTTCAAAGATTTGCTCGCACAGCCTTTTTTCGCTCGCAAAAAGTACACGAACGCAGATTCTGGCTGCACGAATCCACTTCCGAATCTTCGCCTCTAGAACCTCCCACTCGAGTCTTTGTATATCCCCAATGCTTAATTTCTCGATTCCAAGCTTCTTGAAGCTGGCGTCCACAGCAGATTTTCTTACACTCCCGTACACTTGAATACACTCTCGTAGATACCTTGCAGCAATCATCCTGTCCGCGATGCATCTAAGATCATAGATTGCATCGCTTGGGATGAGATCTATCTCGCGGATGCTGCCGTTTGATTTGTACATACTGCTACAGGTGCTGCTGCTGCTTTCCCGATGCTCCAGGGATTTAACAACATTTCCCTCTCTTACGATATTACCACTACTATCTTCCTTTAATTCCTCTTCGTTTGACTTAAAATTGAACTCGATGCTGTTGGTTCGGGAAGTACCGGCGGAGTGAATCGATGAGATTGTTGGATCAATCAAAGACTCCGTTTCAACAGGATTAGGGTGGGAGAGGAGAATGTTACGGAACTCGTCTTCCAGGCGAGCCATGGCGATCTGGAGGACGGACGGGGAAGATTCCGACACGGTGGTCGATTCCAAGGACTTCTGGATTTCGTCAACGGCTTGCAGATAGCGGTCAATCTCGTGGCGATCGCCTTCAAATATCATTTTATCACGGGCATCCTCCGACACCGTTGAGTCCCACCGGAGGATTATTTTCTCGGGTGAATCAAATGTTAAGACTGCGACGGCGGGATTTTCTCCCGGCGGTTCCATGGAAACTGGAAAAGTATTTATCCTTGCAGAAGAGATAGTTTTGAATGGATTATTTTCTGTACTTACTGCTGTAACTTTTGGTTCTGACTGAAAATGATGAGAAGCAATGAACAGTGGTAAAACTGTTGAATTCGACTATCACCGGCAATTTGACGGCGGCAAGAGAATCCCTGTTGATATTCCTATAGAAGCGCCGGTTCCGATTGGAAAGGGTGCATGAATTTCGATTTTGGAAGGGGCTCCGAAATTTAGAATAGAGTAATTAATTAAATTTCTTACTTTACCCCGAATTTTCTAGAAGTATTGACATTAGACCTTCAAATAATTGAGTTTTTTCTTTCCTTATTTTTTAATTAAAAATGGCGACATATTTTTATCCAAAATTATACTACAAACATCTTAGGTTCATCTCATCTTTAACAAATGAAATAGATTACAAGAGGTTGATACACTGGATATAATTCGTTTAATAAACTTAAAAAAAAAAGAAAAAAGAAAAGAAGAAAATCTAAATCTTTTATAAAATTAAACTTGTACTTATTCTTTAAAATAAATGATCGAATTTAGGGGGGCGTTTGTTTTCCATTTTTGTAAAAATGAGAATGAAAAATATAATCGTTATGGTCCCACACAAAAAATAGAAATTCAAGTTTGGTTACTTAATATGATGGATAACGATCATATTTTTCATTTTAATGGGGAAAGAATGAAAAATAAATAGGGTCTCAATGAAGTCAAGTACAGTAATTTAAAGAAGAATTAGACAGAAAAGATTCTTAATGATGTACCATTTTTCTATTGATGAGACAATAATTTAAGAATTANCAGTAATTTAAAGAAGAATTAGACAGAAAAGATTCTTAATGATGTACCATTTTTCTATTGATGAGACAATAATTTAAGAATTAGTGGCCAACAAGAGATCTGGCCAATGCAGAGATTAAGTTCGAGCAACATTTTTCTAAAAAAATCATTTTTTTCAAAATTTATTTCCAATCATCTATTCTTCAATAGAATAATATTACACAAAAATCTAACACATTTTCTTAATTTTTAACCACACATTTCAAAATACATCATTTCTTTTAAATGGGGCTCAAACAGGGACTAATAATGTTACCACAACTAACGCCCAGAGAAATTTAGGCTCCGTTTGATACTTATTTTCATAAGAATGAAAATGAAAAATATAATTATTACGGGACCCACGCAAAAAATAAAAAATCAAATTTGATGATTTAATGTAATGGATAACGGTCATATTTTTCATTTTTGTGGGTAGAGAATGGGAATCAAACACACTCTTAATCACGTGATGGAGGCCCACTAAAAAGCCATAGGCGTCAGAAATGAGACATTGATTGGTCTTCGTTGGCCCAATGCCAATTAGTTCGAACCTTGTAATGTTGGAATTTATTATATGGAAAAAATTCATAACTAAGAGGATAATTATCATCAATTTCAAAATTAAGAATAAAAGTTTTAAATTTCAAAATTTAGATATTTAATAGAATTTATTTATATTTTAATTAATTAATTATATATTTTATTAATTAAATATATAAATTTCATAGATTTGTACAATTTGCTCACAAATTAACAATTTAGTTAGTCACATATTATTTTTCGGTCATGAATCCAAAATTTTATAGGTCGCAAATTATTTCATGACCACAGATAAAAAATTTCATATGTTACAATTTGTTCATCGGTCAAAAAAAAAACTTTAAGTGACAATTTATTTATCAATCACAAATCACAAATTTTAAAAGTCATAATTTATTATACAATCAAAAAATGTCAAATTATTGGTTACAAGTTAACTAAATTTTAGATCACATATTATTTTTTTGTCACAATTTATTTATTGATCACGGATTAACCGATTTAATAGTCACAGTCAATCAAATCATTTGTGATCGCCATCAATACTTGTAACCACCACCTCACCACTGTCACAGTCATAATACCACCAAAATTGCAGTGTGCCAAAACGACTATTGCCACACTCACGACATCACAGTAGCATCATCGCCACAATTACACCCATAACATCACAGAATTACCATCGCCATTGCAGATCTCGACCTATTCCATCGCTACAAAAGATCGCGTTGTTGTATATGTCCTAATCATTCATACATTATAGATCCGGGTAATTGGATGTTGCATATTCCCGTGCACATCGATTAGTATGCAGCCACTCATGGTGATTAGATGTTGCAAATTCCCGTGCACATCACTCAGTATTATAGCCACTCACACCATGTAGAAGTCATAGCTAAATGCAGTCGTGGCATCATCACTACGATGGCTCCGATGACACTTTCCTTCGATTGTGAGAGAGAGAGAGAGAGAGAGAGGGGAAATATGAAGACGATTAGGGTTTTGGCCAGGGTGGTTGGGCGGGGTGGGTAGATGTGTATTAATTTAATTTTATAATATATTTATAAAATAACAATATGATAATTAACAAATATCTAATTTTTGAAACTGTTATACCTATAAAATATTTCATATTGGGTCTTTCCATTGAACTTTGCTTGGACTCGACCCATTAGCCTCGAAGCCCATCTCCATTTTCTATCTATATATGTGGCTCCATTTCATTTAAGGTGTGATTTCTAAACCCTAGCCAAACCTACTCTTCCGACTCATGCACTCTCTATATATTTTGTCTAGTCGTTGATTTGACCGTTGGAGTGCAAACGATCGCTGGACATTTTTCTTGACTGACGGCCTTTGCCTCCTAACAGAGTGTTCTGTGTGTAGGTTTGGAGGAGACGTGGTGAGAATTCTTTTGACAATATTTTTTGGGGTCAACAGAAAAAATAAACTTAGCATATGATTTGTGAAGTGGGATTTTTAAATGTAGGTTTCTATGTAACTTCCACTTATTACATTTTTGGTTGGCCACATACCTAATACATGTATTAAGTATGTGCTAAATAATTCTAATTACAATGGTTTATTAAGTGGCTAAACGGACATGTCTATGAATGGAAATAAGTTTTCAAAGTATCCCCGTTTGATAGCTTTAAATAATCTATTAATAGCATCGCTGTTGCATTACATGAATTCATAATTAAGTACTTCAAATTTGTCTTCAAACCCAATAATAATGTCTTCATCACTTTAATTTTCTTAATATAAAAACAAATGTAAATTTTGATAAATTAGTTTGTCTAACACAACTCTAAAAAATTTCTGATTTTGTTTGTCATAATAGATTGTTCGCGTAAAAATCTTAAGTGTACGATGTCAAATAAATAAATAGTATAGTAAATTTAGAGAGATTGAATTATTCTCGACTTCAAGCAATTCTTATTTAATTAAGTCAACTTATTATATCTCTATGCGAATATGAGTTATTTCTTAACTTAAGCGCCTTCAATCATAAAGGAACTCAATTAAATATCACGTAAAAGTGTATCGCTAACTGTTATCTAAGTTCGGATTCTTATTATTTAGATTTCGGCTCGTTACAGTTCACTGATCATTGCAATGGTTGTCAATTATATCAAAGCATTAAAAATGATACACAATAATCAATTTAAAATAAAAACTTGATAATTAAAAATATTAAACTATAGGGTAAATTGTTTGCCCTCAATAGAGAAGTTAGTTCTACCCAATAATTTAAAAACGCCTATTGAATTTGGAAATACATCATCAGGTTCAAATTTTCTTTGTACATGCGTATCAAAAGTTGTTGGTAGAAAACGAGGCAATACCATATTTGAGAGTCCAATTCCTCAGCTGGTATAGTGCCCTGGGAGCGTCAAGTAGCAGAGGTAGCGGCATTTCTGTCACAATTAGAGTTTACCCCTCACTTGCACCTACGGGAAGGGATTTCTTGGTTGTTTTATGTGGAAGAATATCATAAAATTCGTCAAATCACAAAACAAACCATGGGCTTAATAACATCGACGCTCGAGCAAGAAAGCTTGTGCACAGCACTCGAGCCCCCAAGCTCGCGGTAGGCGAGCAGTGGGGTCCCTATTCTGAGCGCTCGAGCGAGAGATTAACGCTCAGCAAGCCAAAATGTGGCGATTCCTTCTCTTTTGTCCATCTTTAGACTTCTTCAAAACCTCTTCATCCAAAATAATAATACCCAAAGAAATTTCACAATTCAACAAATTTTCACCTTAAAACAATTTTTCACCTTAACATAAATTTCACCACAATGCATGAAGTTTCAAAAAATTCTCCATCAGAAGACGAATTTCACTACAAGGAATATAACTTAACTTTTCAACAAAAAAATTTCAATAAAAAAATTCTCTACTTTTTTCCTCAAAAGCCTAACTAGGACAAGCTTAATTACTGAATATCAACTAAATCCAAGTATTGCACAACATTGGGTGCCAAAGTTGCTTGAATTATCACAACAAGCAACAAAATCCCAAATAAATCGACAATAATTACGAACCATGATAGAAACATACTCTATAACAGAATCAACACAACTGTTTTTGTAAAAGGTTATTTGCTAAATTCAATAACTTCAACCACATTAAAAGAATAGGCACTAAATCAACTTCATCATACCTCTATGAAGGCATAATATCTCTCCTCGGTCACCCCTCTAGCAATTGAATACCGTGGCATCGTTGGTGATGGTGGCAAAGTGGCATCACCCATGACTGCTGAACTTGACAGAGATATATTTTTCAATATAGACCCTGAACCACACTTCAACACTATTGTACCAAACTCAAAATCCACCTGAGTGCCTAACTTATACTGATTGATATTCAAAGATTCTGTAGAACCTTTCAAGACATATAACTGGGACCTTCTCTATCCTTTCGTCACAATACTGGCACATTTATTAAACTTCAGTACTCCAAATTCACCGGTATACTTGTATCCTTTTAAATCAAAAGTACTCAGGAATATAAGATTTTTTTTCAAATTTGTAACATGTTTTCACATCGCAAAGTGTCCTAACCGTCACATCAAACATTTTAATTCTGACCCTTTCGATATCATTTATCATACAGTATGCATTATTTTCCATTACCACAACAATCTGGAAATTATTTTATATATTGAAAATAAATCCTGGTTAGGACACATATGAAAAGTGCAAGTAGTATCAATAATCAAGTTTTCATTAGGTTTGGAGTCGCTATCAGGAAAATATCCAAAAGTTCTCCATTACTATAGCAATCTTATGTAACATATGCTTCACCTGAATTTTTTAACTATTTTCCCTTCAGATTTATAGCAATTGATTTATCCCTACTTTGCAACTT